TGCTGTGATTTTTAATTAGATTAAATAGTCCAAACTTCATTTACTGCTCTCTCATTTTTATTGTAAGTGACTGTATAGAGGAGGAGGAAAAAAACCCAGTGTTTAGAACAGAGGTTCCGAAACTCCCCTGGGGTCCCATGTTAAGATATTATGGACTGTAACCTTTTCCATCATCTACACCGCCCCCTCTCATACAGCTGTTATTTCCAGCATAAAACTTCTCAGCTTTCTCTTCAGATCTTACTATGATTAAGCAGTGAAAAATAGTGTGTCTGAAACAAGCCTGTTTAGGAAAGAAATAGGATCAGTTATCGATACAGAAAGCAAAGAAAAATTACAAAGCTCAGCTGGTGGACAACAAACACCACTAAATTTAGGATCACGATCACCAAGCCATAGAGTTGGTGAAGCCGTAAATAAAACTGTGTGTGATCCAAAAGGAAAGCTGTAGTCTTGTTCCGAATAAAAGCCGTCTTGCACTCATACCAGCTCAGCATGTCAGATGTTTTAGAATTTAATGTTCAAACAACAAAAAACTGAACTAGCGTCCCTCTCTAACCTGGTCTCGATATCTGGAATATCCTTGCTTTTATCCTGTAAACCTAAGACAAACAGCCTCATTTTCTTGGCAAGCAGCTCCTAGCTTGTCAGATTTTCAAAGTGACAAGTCATTACTTTGAAAGCACATTTTAAAAGGCAGACAAAATTCACACTCTGCATATCCACACAGCTTGCACAGAGAAGAATTTCCTTCCATTTATCAGCAGACAGCAACTGTAAGAGCTTCAAAGGAAGCTGCTGAAGGAGTACCTATTAGTTTCTTAGCAAAGGTATCTAATGAGACAGAAATGGGTGTCTATTTTGCTACTGGCTCCTTGGGATGGCATGTAAAATAACTGAGGAATAAACTTAATCAGAGATTTTGAGTAGAGTCACAAATAACTCTGTTACTACTACAAAACTGAAATAGTAGTATTTAATGAACATGCTTGTAGCCATACTAGAAAGGCAGACTGCATTTTCAGAGGCAATTTACAAATCCAGCAGCTCTAAGACCCTCCAGCTATTGAACTAGGAAGCTTTTAATACACAAATGTAGAAAGAAGTCTCTCTCAATAACTGTATTTCTACAGGAGATACTGATTATTTAGCCAGTTGCTTACAATTTTCTTCCAAAATCACCTTGTTCTTTTACAGTCTCTTCTGCATTTAGTAGGGCAGTTTACCCTGTCTTTATGTAATTTTTATATGTAGATTATAATAAGCCACGCTTGATCTGATGACTTCCTGCAGCTGAATCTGTGCTCCCCCTTGTCCTTATTGCTAAGCCCATACAACTGCAGAAGAGTGAGCACATTAAGTGATGCATCAACATCTCTCTTCTGGACTGTACTTACAGAAAACCCCACTGTTACTCTGATTTCTGAACAAATTAGCAGGTCTGGATTCGGGCCAAGAGCTATACCGTGGACCTTCAGCTGGTCTGAGCTCTTGCATGAAGACTAGCTCAAGGGTGAGGCAGGCAAGTGGACAGGAGGGATAGGGGAGAGAAAGGAATTTCACGTTTCTTATAATTTCACAGAAGAAAGAGATGCCAGTTAAGAGTAAGAAGCAGCAGTATTACATCAAATACATACAAAGAGGCTTCGTCCAGGAAGAGAGGCGAGAGGCCCCAGCAGAGCTGGGTAAAGATCAGGAGGATTAGAGAAAATCAGCTCTTCCTCCTCCTCCAAGGCAGCCAGACTCTTTAACAGGTCCGGAGGAAGCAGAGGGGAGCTCTTGGGGTCCTAGTGACAGAAATGAGCACAGTGAGACAACAGAAGGCAGAAAGGGGAACAACAAGAGATGGCAAGGAGAGGCTAAGCCACAGCAGGATGAAAGAAAATAGCAAGAGAAAAGCAGAAGGCAGCATGCAGAAGTGTGAGGTGAGAAAGTGGTGCGGCAGAAGCATGTAGAGGTACACAGAGAGAAAATGCTGAGCAGAAAACATAACTAGCCATGTGGCCCAGTGCATACTGGGAGGAGCACCGTACCATCAAAATGATGGGCAGCTAGTTTTAATTAGTGGAGTGTGTGCTTCCCATTGCATCTATGACAAATACTGAACCTGTTTTCACATTCAAGGACAAGGAACACGAAATCTTACAATTATTCTTCTATACCTGACCTGTGAGTAATTTAGGTTTCAAGTAAAATTACATTTACATCATCTTCCTTCCTCTATTTGTGGAGCTTGAACCCCATGAGACTTATTTCCACTGCTAATGGCTGCTATGCCAACATACAGCTGGCCAGACCACTGGGACAAAAAACCCTGCAAAGTGCTGGTCAAACTTGACATCTTGACTTCTGTGAGGGATGCTTAAAACACAAGCATCACAGGCACAGCTGCTGTCTGTACTGCACTGTGCTTGCACCAAGGCAAGGTTTCCCTTTTAGGGATGAGAACAAAGCTTTGACCCCATCTCTATCTAAAAACCACAACCTGACATCAGGGTAGAGGCAGACTCCTGTATATTGTCTGGCTTTTCTCTCTGAAGGATAAACCAAGCGATCTCGGCTGACCTTCTGAAAATCCTGAGTGCATTTACAGAGGTGCATCTGACCAAAGGTTTAAAGAGCCCCCTGTTTACGTTTCCTTATAAACATCACCAAAAGCACTCACAGACAACTCCAGGACTCTTTATAAAACCTGCAATCCGTGTTATTTATTAACAGCAACATGAAGCACAACTGCATGAACAAAAGCAAAGTATTCCATTAGTGCAACCAAGAGCTAAGAAAGCCATCTGACGCTCTTGCTATGTGGTGGGATTTCCAAGAAAAAACAAACAAAAAAATAATCCAAGACAAGGCTGCTCCTACCATCTTGATTTCCAGCCTCAATCTGACTATTGCAGCCTCAGCCATTCAACACTGTCAAGATACTATATGGGTGTTAAGAGTTCCTCTAAAGGGTAATAATTTAACGGCAATTATTTGGATGGCTTGTTGCCATGTTGTTGATATGTTGCCAGACAAGAATTTTCCCCAAAACCATCAGCTGCCATGTTTTGCGACCTGACAGACACAGATCAATGTCACATTTCACCAAACAAGACTTACACACCTACTTGAAACCAAATCTTCAAGAGCCAGATCCCACACACAGCCAACTAAAATGGAGAATTCATCACTGTTTGCTGGAATGCCATTTACTGATACCCAGCTCCCTACTAAATGAGCTCGCATTGACCTACTTGGGGATCAGAGCCTCACCGGTTTTCATCACTTACAGCATGGATCTTTACCTCAAAGGTCATCCTGGAGACAGCATCCTGCTCTGGGCGGAAGACTCCTTGCCGTTTTCCCCTGCGGTCCATGTTAGACTGCTGTGCCATCACCCTATTGTCAGCCATGCCATAGGAAGAGTCCCAGTAATATTCTGGCACCTTGACTTCTGAGGGGTTCTGGTTATATGGCTCCATTGGGAAAGGCTTCATTTTTTTCTCCAGAGGTTGCTGTTGCATCACGGGAGGCTGTAATGACTGTTCAAATAATTTTAGAGGGTCCTGGGCCTGCAGGTAATAGGACTGCTTTACAGGCAGGATCTTCCCCAGTGAGCCTTGGACTTGAGGCGGGTTCCAGAGCTGCTTTGACGAGTCTGTCTGCGGATACTGAGGCAGAGACGCATGATTTCACAAGCAGGTAGGAACAATTAATGTTAACCGAATGCCCATCTCCATTCAAACTGTCGGACTGGCTCACTTATGACAGACATTCCACAAGCATTCTGATTTGCTATGTTATTCACCAAAATGCACAGTCCTGATAAGCATCTAACACTCTGTAGCCAAGCTTTATGCCAACAGCCAAGTATAACCTTTACTCTAATCCAGTACCATATAAACACCTTTACTAAGGCACTAAGCCAGCATTCTAAGACCAGAAGGATCTCACCATTCAGTCCAGACATGCCAGAAGGGAGATTTTCTCTAGCACAACATGAGCATAAAACTAAGCGCTGGGGGGGAACTGACATTGCAACTCAGTTAGCCAAAAGGAGAGTGCGGGTGAACGTTCAGACTCAGTCCTCATTATTGACACAAGAAAACCAGAAAGGCCTAAGACAGAAATACCTCATCAGAAATATCACCTTCATTCCTTGTCTACAAACAGAAACTCACAGAAAACAAACGACCACCTTCCCATTCCAGTAGATACCTTCCTCAGTTACAGAACTGTACATTCGTACTCCCTAAACTTCAGCTCTTTTTCAATGTTCATAGATCAAAATTCCACACTAAGGTCTTTAACAACAGTTTTGAAAAGATAATGCAGGAACCTAAGTCTTGAATGTTGCCATTTATTTTTAAACGAAGCTTAGCACATTGCATTAGTCAAGTTTACCTGCTGGAATCCGGAGTGGTGTGGTGGGCTCTTCCCCAGGCCCTGCACAGCTTTCGTAGGGGACTGTTGCTGCTGTTGCTGGGCCAGAGCTTGGACCTGTAACTGGCTTGCAGACTGTGCTGTTGCCTGAGCTGGTAAAGATGAGAGGGGTTGCTGGGAAGGAGGTGGTGTTTGCTGAGGTCCCTGGGTCATTGGCCCTGGTCCAGAGGGCCGTTGCTGGCTGTAAGGAATGTGGGACTGTTTCCCACCTTGCACCTGGTTTCCTGCAGGCGAGTGAGCTGTGGGCTGGAGGAAGGTTCCTGGGACAGAAACACCACCTGGGAAGGTGTACCCTGTGCTCATGGAGAAAGCCACAGGAGGGGGGACAACATAGGTTGGAGGTGGAAACCCTGGAAAGATGGAAATGCATATTTAATTGAAATTTAGCAGAGCAGGTAGCTCCCTCAAGAAAACATTTAGTATGTGTTTTCAGTTTTGTTTTTTTTTTTTCTTCCCTATTTTGCTCATTTAGACCACGAGGACAGGAAACACCGAGTACAGGTTTGTATACATGCAGCATAACATTTTTTCTCACCTCTGCACATGCATGCCTGTGATCAAAGGGATATTCAGCGTTTGTTTCTTGAGATTTCTTACAATATTCCAGGCACCAATAATGGTCAGCCAGGGCAGTATCTGGGAGAGTCATATGTTTCCCTGCCCACACATCTCAATCTCCTTGGTTTTTTTTCCCCCCCACTACCTTTTTCCTTCACCATTCTGGGGTGTTTGATGCTTTATGCCCGAAGTTCCCTCCCCCTCAAACACACACATTTTCAGGGACCAAACTTCTGGAGCAACAGACAGAAGCAATCAATAAGTCTACTGCCTCCTCCCAGAGGATCACCAGTCTCAGGATCAATTTAGATAGAGACAGTAAGCAAACAAATCTTCATATCCGCAAGATCGATTTCTTTCTTGTAGTTCACACTCAAAAGCCAGGTTTGGAAGGCAAGCTTTAACTGTGTCTCACAGGCCAGATTTTATGCTGACTTTGGAACAGTGAAGATGTCTCTTTGTCTTCCATTAAGCAACTACACATAACAGCTGCAGGGAAGATACAGCTTCCAGCTATTTTGTGATCAAACACGGACAGCAAGGTATGACAGGAACGCTCCACAAGAAAATGGGAACATGCAATGTGGCAACAGCAGAAAATAAGGCCACACAAATTACAGCTTGAAACATGAGCACCACTACAAAAGAAACTGAGCTTTAAAGAAGAAAGCAGTGTGATTGATCTTTTGTATTAGAGTCCTATGCAGAGAATACTTCCTCCTGAACTAGCAGAAAACTTTGTCATGTTTTGACTAACTACAGAAACAGCCTACTGTGAAGTTCCTTGATCTCACACCCACTAACCAAGAAGGAAGGTGGCAGATTTCATGACAGACCTTGACTCCAAAGCATAAGGAATCTTATTTATCTCATTTCAGTTTTGCTATGCCCCTTCTTTACTACCTTGTACGATGCTCGATGTGAGAATGCATGTTCATTAAAACAGCTCCTAGCTTTAGAGGCTGCAATAACCACTATTACAGGATTTTCTTTGCAGTCAACAGCAAATCGCACTTCAAAAGAACAATGCAAATTACCTGGCCGGCTAGGAAGGGGAGGGAAGGCTCCTGGGTGATGAATGGGGATGAACTGAGAACTGCTGGCCTGACTTGGAGTCTGAGTTACAGGTGTTTTCCTGGCTTCAGACACCGGGGTCTTCCTCATCTCCGTCTGGGATTTCACCTAATGCAAAAGAAAGTAAGGAGAAATTAGGTAACTTTTCCTGTAATTACCCACGTCATGTCTCAAGCCAAAAAATGAACTTCCAGATTGTCCGAGAGATTTTCTTTTCCCTAAGTAATTGGGAACACAGGAACCCAGTTCCCTCCTCACTGACCTCAGGCAGGTTACCCTGCTGGCCTGGCTTGGAGTCTGAGTTACAGATGTTTTCCTGGCTTCAGACACTGGAGTCTTCCTCATCTTAGGCAGGTTACCCTGCCTGTCCTCAGGCATTCCTTGCCTCACAAAAGCACTCTAAGGATATCTGCCCAGAAGACTGCAACAGGCTCCTTTCTCTAGTGACAGAGTGGGAAGCGGCCATAATAATATCCTCAGACCATACAAAGAACTTACCATGCTGCTCACCTGCAGTGCCTTAAAAACAAAACAAAAAGTGCAGATGCTATTATGCTTCTCCTAGGGCACTGCTTCAACCTAACTCATGCTACCGGCAGCACCTTAAAACACAAACACTCACATGTTCTTCCTAGGGAATTCTTTCAGCCTAATCCATACGGTGATCTATATGCACAAACTCCTGCATACAATGAAATTCTTTTGACCGAGAGCATAAAAGACAAATAGCAGAAGTGCTTAATCTCTTTCAGTTTACTGTGTAACTGCTGTATGTTCTGTTAAAAGAGCTGCACCAGTTAAAGGCAGAGAGAAGAATGTAATGTAATGTTTACCTGATTCTGAGTCTGCTGCGGTCTGGGTCTTCCTGGAGAGGAAGACAGAGGGGAAGACTACTTTCCCTTTCTGTTCAGCTCAGCAGAACTGCCTGGAATGCAAGATGGAGCAGGCAGGAAAAAGACAGCAAGCAAGGAACCTGGGCAATACAGAAAGGGCCCAGGAGTAGACCTGACGCCAAGCTTCAAAGGTGATCGAAAGAAAGGGTTTTATCAAGGACCAAATTAAAAAAATCCAAAACCAAACAAGCCAAAACTGTGTAGGGTTTATGTCAACACTTAGCGCTGCTGAGTTGAAGAGTTAGAGGGCAGGTCTTTTCTGCCAAAATACAGTAGTAGAGGGGTAGATGCATTCAAACACTTTCTTTTTCAAGTAATTCTGAATTTCCCCATTTAGAAATTATGGGAGCATAGTTTATTTTTTTTTTTTGCATTTAATTAAAAAAGTAGACTGTAAGGCTGGGAGGTTTGCATGTATTTTTGATCCCCTGCTAGAAAAAGTCAGTAGGGAACTCCACCTCAAGGTTCATGCTAAGCACCAAGAATGATGCAGCCCCTACTCATGCCGCATCTGTTCACAGCCCACCTTCACCCCTCATCACATTCTGTATATTCAATTTACATCATGCTGTCTCTTTTTTCTCTCCACAATGAGCCAAACATTTTTATAACCCATACTGAGAGCTATATGTTCTTTTATAGCAGTGTTGGAGAATTCAAAGCCATTTGTCCTGCCATGGGATTTCAAAACATGAGCTCTAGTCCATCACAAACTCAAAGCTGCTATAACGTATTTCCAAAGGTGGCTTCCAAAAGACCGCCTGCATGATTTATAGTTAACTTTTTAAAGCTAAATAACTAAAAAGGATTAATGAAGACAAATTTCAGTTGCTTCCCTGCTTCTACTTGACCTCACCTCAAAAGTCTCAATACTACCAAATAATTACTCCCCCAGTGGTCCTGAGTGTTCCCAGACAGCGCTTGAGAGAAGGACCATTTCGTCACAATGGCCTCCTTAAGAGTACAGCACACCTTGAGCAAGTCTGCATGCAACCTTCCTCGGCACCTAATGTTATTTACCCTAAAGAACAGACATTCAACCTACACCACACTTTCATGATCCTGTCTGAGTGTGGAAGTTTTCCACATATCTGCCAAAGGGGATGAATTACTTCCGTATAATATTCTTAAAATTTTTGCTAAGTAAGAGCTGCAACATTGCAGCATTTAGGCTGTGGAAGGCAATGAGCTTTGGAGAAGATGATAAGCCTGAAATATCAAAGAAAGCCAAAGCAGAGCACTAGACCACCAGTCGGTCCAAAACTGACACTGGTTTCTTCTCATCTGGGGGAAAGCAAAACTTCCCCATCTTCTGGAGTAGGTCTGGATAAATAAGGCCACCAAACTATATAAAACAAAAGGCATTTCACTGGGATAGTTGCCATAACAAATACAGCTGATGGAACTAAAAAGTCAAAATTAATTTCTCTTCCACAAGAGATGAAGAGCAACCAGCCACATCAGAACAGATTCTGCTACAGCTGGGTTTGAAATAAGTTTTTGCTGGGTTTGTTATCTCTTAAGACTAAGACAAGCAAATATCTGATAAATCAGCTGGGTTAGAATTAAAATGTCTTCCCTATCCAAAAAATTACAGATACTTCTCAGAAGATCTGGTGGGTTTTATTATCTCAAATCCTTATTTTGCAAGACAGGGGCAAAAACACTGAAACTGGGAGTTGTGTTCAGGCCTGCAACCACATTCCAGACATGTTCAACAAATAAATAAGAAACCTGCTATTCTAACTCACCTACCTAATTTTTTTTCAGATACCAGACTCTTCTTCAGTGACTCATTAACGATTGCCACATGGTTTCTATAGGCTATTCCTCTTTACCCTGACTTGGTCTGACCCCCTGCAAAACCAACTGCATAACGCTGCCATTTCAGACCTTCCATTTCATAGCAATGATGTTTAACAGCAAGTAATCAGGAGAACAAGAATGATCCAAGGGTCCTATCACCACAAGCCGGAAAGACTGAAAGAGCTGGTTTGTCTTGCCTAGGCAAAACAAGACCTCAGTTATACAGGCCTTCAGAGCAGATGCAGAGAGGAAGACTTAAGTTATTCTGCACACCTGTCCTGGGAAGCAGTAATAGGCTTACACAGAGGCAAGGGAGATGAGTGCATCAGGAAATAATTTCCACTTGCAAGAATGGTGAAGAACTGACACAGTTTCTCTGGGGAAATAATAGAGTCTCCATCACTATTATTAAATGACTGAGATGCAGCCAAACTATCCATATACAGGTCAACTGGTATCAACCCAGAAACTCTACACCCTTATTTATTACAACTCAAAGGAAGTCAGACCAGTAAATTCACTGTCTACTTAGGAGGTGAGCATTTTTTTACATAACACTCACAGAAACAGGGGAAAGAGGCATGCCTCAAAAACACAACTGAGAAAAGAGCAGCTGATATGAAAACCAACAATTTTCAGCATGTATTTGAGCACAGAATTATGGTTTAAGTGCAGCATGTCCTTCCTTATTTCCACTGAGGGCCATCTGACTGCATGCACATTATGGAGGATCTTATTCCACAAACAACTGGCTGCTTTTGTGATTGTATTTGTTGAATGTGCACAAGTTAACTAACCAAAAATGCAGAGTACCCAGTTCCTTCACAACAGACCAAGAGCATGACTAAGACCTGGCCATCCGAACTACCGTGGTGGCCTGAATAATCCGTGGAACAACAGGTAGAGGTCTGTTTAACATAGTTAACATAGCAAAATCACCTTTCATTGCTCCCTAGCTTTTCCTCCCCAACAAATTGAGACAGCATCAAGGAAAAGGGCAGAGACCCAAAGATCACTAATACCCAGTTTTTGAGATAAATGTGTTTCTATTTTCTCTGTGGATTAGCTGTACCTGCAGGGCCCACAGTGAGACCTTGACTCTACTGCACTCTATACAAGCAGTGACAGCCCTGACACAAACTGCCCAAGACGCAGTATCCCTTTGATCTAAAGGCTTACCTGAACTGCCACGTTCTGCTTTCCTGCTTCCTGCATCTTATCCAAGCTGCATTTCTTGGTCTCATTCTTTCTTTTATTGTTATCCTTCTTTCCATCATTCTTATTGGCTACTATTCCTTTGCTATAGTCCCGTCTTTCCCTCCCGACATCTTTAGGGGGATAGATTCGCCCTTGCTCTCTGTTAATTTCCCGTGGCTTGATGTTCTCTTTGAATGTGACCATTGGTTTTTCTCCTGCATCACAGTTGTTGTTCAGGCTTCTGCCAGAGGACAGAACTGATTTGAGTCCAGGGCTCCCATCTGTAGATAGTGGCTCTGCAACAGATGTTTCCTGCAAGGCGAGACTCTCTTTGGCTTCACTAGGGTCCTCTAGCAATAATTCTGGGATTTCCGTCAAAAACAACAGCTTTCCTACCTCGTTTTCACACTGAATCAACCTGAAAAAGACAGAAAGGAATTGAAAAGCAAGTAGGGATAGTTTTTCACAGGGTAACTCACTTTCCCAAATTATAAAAGCAGAAAGATTACATATCCACAATGCATCTCTTCAACCCAGCAACAACAAGATGTTACATCACATCTCCCAGCTAAGGGCATTCTCTAGCATTACGTAAGCTCACATACTAATGTTCTTACTACCACTTCAAATACTCTTTCCACTTAGCTGTGCTGCAGTATCACTAAAAAGGACTCAAACATGATGCTTTACTCCAAATACATTCCCTGTCATAATCAGTCTATGAAGCAATGGCACGCTGACCCACAGAACATGTTATCAGTGCTGTCAGCACCTTGCATTCACATATCTAACTACTGTGTCAAATAATGAGAGAAATAAAGCTCAACTCTGGCAGCACCTGCGTTACCTAAGCTTACAGCAGCAACTGAAACACACAGATGCTACTTGCAATTACCTCGGCTGGTTATCAGCAATCCATTTGCCTGTGAAGATCAGACGCTGTTGTCGTATCCGACGTTGTTGCCCTTCCTTATCTCCTGTAATTGCCTGGTGGCCTTTGGAAAAATCCAAGTTCCTAGTATTGAAATAGGAGAAGAAATAATATTAATTATACAGTTACCCTCTGCAACATGATATTTCTTTGGAAATACAGCTGGTCAGCATTAGCCTATTATAAGCTGTGAAATTTCACCAGATCCTATTCAAAGCATGACTGTTACAGATGTCTGATTTACAGATGGAACTCTCTTCTGATAAGATGCATCTACATTAAAGAGGTTTGGTGGTTGTTTTTTTTTTTGTTTGTTTGTTTTTTTAAAAAACAGTAGGCTGAAAGCTTATCTGTGTGATAATCAAAATCACAAAAGTAACAGTTGAGTGAATACATCTAATATTTAGTCAGTGTTTGTATATGATATTAGGTACAAGGACACAGTTAAAAACAAAGTAAAAAATCAGCAAAGTAAAAATACATCAAGCAATTTTCATGTAAAAGTATTCCTTTCCTCACTTATATTTTTCCCTTTCAATTTGCTAGTCTGAAGACTACAGAAGAAAACAAAAAAAAGTCCTGAGTGATATTATAAGCTCGTGACCTTTTTCCCAGAGTTTTACTACACTGCCTATTACAGTTGTTTTGCAAAGATACCTACATTAGTAAGTACTCATAAATAAGATACTGAAGGGAACAGGTCAACATCTATCAAAGTAGTGACATCAACAAGAGTACAGGTTCCTTCAACTGTCACCTACCTGAATGAGGGCCTCAGAGCCAAGAATCCTTGCAACTCAAATTCTTCTGGAAGGGGGGTTGCTGGTGAATAGACAGCAAACAGTGTAAGGAAAGCATGAATGCATTGAGTACAGTATCATTAAGTAGCTTACTCAGCAAGGTCACCATACATAATAAAGCATTTTATTAACATGCTCATCTGTACTGGTCCACCCTGCAATCTGAGGAGCTCAGGAATGATAAAGTAGAGCAAAGTCTGCTTAGCATGAGAAAACAGCATTTGCAAAGTGTTCACATGCACTAGAAGACAACTTGCTCCCTTATTTGCTCTTCAACTGCAATTCCCCACAACATCAGGAAAAACATGCATCACTCCCAGTTCTTCACAGCACAGGCTAAAAGCATCCTTACCATTATTATTGGACAGATCTTCTTCATGAGGCTGGAAGCTGTTTAGAAGAGAAATCAGCCAGGGCCATATGCTACAAACGAGAAAACAGACAAACTATAAGTGAAAACTACAAAACATGGAATCTACCCGCCTTACTAAGAAAACATGGAACTGTTACAGTCACAGCTTCCATTAACCCTTTGATTCCCAAGAAAAGTTAAAGTTTCTTCCAAGTGCCAGGGAAAAGATCAATTTCTTGAAGAACTTAATTTTTTTAAAAGTCAGTCTAAAGTTACAAAGGAAGCCAGACTCTTGCAGCACAGCGTTCATTATCCAGCAAGTCAGAAAGCCTACTACGAATTCAACAAGACAAATCTATCACATGAGCAAAAAGTTCAGAGCACCTGTTTGCAATTCATGTCTTCCAGTCCAAAGCTGACTGCTCTCGAGGCACAGTAAATTAATCAGTTGGGAAGCAAAACAATTTATCAAGATACAGCTGTGCAGAAGTACTGCTGTTCTGTGAACATTAATGCTGAAACAGTTACCAGAGAGGTAAGGTGTAAGAGTTGCACTGAGTAAGACCATTAAACTAGAAGTTAACTGGCAGTCTCCCTGCCTTGCACTGACAATACCAGTACAAGCAATGAGTAGAAATTCTTTCAAAGGCCCTGGAGCAAATAGTCTAAAAATAGCAACAATCGCTGCATTGGTAGTTAACATTTAACCGCCACCACCAGCCTGCTTTCTACTATTTTTTAAAAGCTCCAACCCAAAAGTCTAAACATCCTTCTTCTGCCTTAGTGATGGGCATTGAGTCCATGGAGGCAACAGAAAACTATTTTAAGAAGGTGCCCACTGTATTCAGCCTTAGCAAAATAAACCTCCATCCTCCCTCAGCAAGGCTTTCAGCCATCATCCAGCACCTGGACTGGAAAATGCAACATGCACCCAAAAGCCTGAGGTCAGACGCTTTCCTGCATCACTGCAAGGACTGGAAACATTATGTTTATGCTTATTCTCTACGCTAAACTAAGCAATAGCTTCTTCCCATGACTGACAAGGAACAGAAGGAGGGAAAAAGGGAGAGTGCAAGTCTGCTGCAACCTACAGTAAACTCCAGTCTTCCCACACAACATTTGAAATAATCAGATTTCATAAGAAGAGATCTCTAAAGAGGAGTGGAGTAGCAACATCTAGCCCTAATGTGGCTTCCTGAGGGCAGGGTTGGAAAACTCATTTCCAAAGAGCTCACGCTAGTATCGATACAGTCATTTCTGTCCTCTATTCTTGCCTTCAGATTCATCTACTGTTCTAGGTAAACATTTCCTTCCTATTTCAGATGCTCGTTCATCTTGGGGTAGGAGTAATTATCCACAGGAACGTGACAAGCACAGAGTGGGGACAACTGAAAGTTTAAAAAGGAATAAGGATTATTTCTTGAATCAAGAGCACACTTAAGTATGAATTGAGAGTAAGGAAGACTTTTCAATATAAAACAGACATCAGGTTAATAAACAGAGGCCAATAAAGGTGCACGCGTGTGTGTAGTCTGCAAAGAATTACTTTCATTAGGATCCTCCAATAGAAATAAAAAGAAAACTCTCATCCTTACAAATAATGAGGAAGATGGACAGTCATCTCAACTTTTTAGAGCCAACAAATAATGGCTACGAACTAATACTCATTTTGATAACTCTTAGCAGCATTTAACTTCCTTTTCAAGTTCACCTGCGCATTTTAGAGCTGTTTACTGCCCATTTTACAACACCTTTGTATGATGAGTACCTGAGAACATCATGTTATGACACCACAGATTTAAAAACCAGGCATATATTTTAAAGAGAGCCTGATCATTTTATGGGGAGGAGGACCTACTCTGGCTAATTCAAAATATACATTCATGCTTGAAGATTCATTTTGATACTCCATGAAGTACTGCCTGCATCTCCTCTCTGCAAGGACTACTTTATATCAAGTAGTAATCTTCCCTGTTAAAATACTGGTATAAAGTCTTCCTTCAGAACATGCATACAGTAATACTTATTACCATCTCAAAAGAATTTGCGAACTCTTATTTTCCTTGATCTTGCCTTCAGGAACTCTGGAACTGAAGTTCCCACAGCTCCGGGGCTTTAGGTTTTGCACACATTTGAGCGAGTCTTATTACTCATTTAGCAAACAGGTTATAGGGACTCCTGCTCCCCATACATCAGTGTACAGAAAACGCGAGTCTTGGCTAGATTCACATCTTACAGCACACACCATGCCTAAGAGAGACCCTAAACCACTGCACAAGAGCAGCTAAGTAAGCTGGTTTCACACTGTTTTCCTTATAGTGGCCATCCTAGACAAAAATACTCATCCAACTGTGTCAGTAACAACCACCCCCATCTGAAGAAACATCTTACAGGTCAGAAACACTGTATTGAATTGCTATAATTCATGAAAAGTTGACAGACTATAAAAAAAGTTGGCAAGTTTTGAACTATTTAAACCTAAATTTATGAGATTAGAGGCAGAAGTGAAAAATCAGAGCAACAGTCCAGAACAGTAATGCCTGTGCTGACATTTAAAGACCCCCTCTATTTAGTTCAATTTAATTCCTGGATGATGAGCAAGGAAAACTGGATTACAGCACTGCCCAAGAGATGGCTTAATGCATGAAATTAAGGCAAGTATTCTCCTGCCACCTACACCTCAATAAATCTGACAAATCATTACAATAGATTAGAGTAAGGGTATACTCAGTAGTTATGCTTGAGTCAAGACATTATAAAGGAGATTCCTCTGATCTTAAAAAAAGTTACACGCAAACCTAAAGCAAATTAAACCAGTGAATTTGCTCATGTAGCCCACATCTCAAGTTATGTTTTATGAATTTTAGCACATATATTCTCTATCATTCTGATTTCTGTAATAATGAGTTATACAATCACTTTTCCCATTACTAATTTGTGTATCACCAGTTATTATTACTTTATACAATTAAACGTATCAAAAGAAAGATTAACACTCACTACCGTCTTTCATCAACCACTGCCTCCTGGAAAACACTGGGCCTAAGTTTCAGCCAGTCCATTGAAACCTTCACAGCTGGAAGAGGATATGCAGCCCCAGAGTCCTCCTGGTAGTCATTTTGTAAAGGACACTTGCACAGAACTCCAAGAAAGGACACTAGAAACAGAGCAGGGAAAAAAAAAACAAACCACAATTGATTCAGGAATGACACCCTGAAGTTGACCAAATAACCTAATCAAACCCATTCCACCCATAAAACCCTATTCTTAAGAGCTAGTTCTTTAGAACAAAGCAGCCTAATTACTTAATATTAAAAAATCTGCCAGCAGATCAGAACATCTTTTTTTCAATAAAGAATTTTCTACCATGAAGCAGAACCTTGGTGTTTTTTTTCTCCCCTCTCCTTTTTAAGTATTGTTGCAAATCATTTTGATAAGTTAACACAATCCAGTGAGACAAGCCCATTACAAAACCATTCATTTATCTGTAAGAAATTTTCAACTCCACTATCTATCTGCATTTTATCTACTTTCCCAGGTCAGCAGGCACCCAAATCCACCAGACCTAGCTCTGCAGGCACACACCCAGCTCAGACCCATCGGGGCAGACAGCTGAGAAACAGTAACCACACCAGTGTGACCATGGTGCTTTCAAAATCAACTCTGGGCTGGAAGCTAGAAAAATTCAGCTGTTCAGAAATTTAGGTGTTTAGGAACAAGGTCAAGCTGATCATGGGCCAGATAAGGTTAAGTAAATCAGTATTATGTGGCTAGAGTCTAAAATGCTCTGCACTCTCACTTAACTCCTAGTTGGTATTATCAAGAGCACAGAAGCAGTTGCAGTCCTAGTTCAGTCAGCTTCAACTTCAGTCCTGTTGAATCCAAACTCGCTCCATTCAAAGCAACTCAAACCTGCTTTGCAGCCAACTGCAGAGCAGCCCCCCAAGTGGGGTACTACCTACCGCCAAGTTGGATCCAACTTTGCACCCAAATTAAAATGTTCTTTCAGAACCAGGAAGAAGATGCAGAGTTCTGTAAGGCTTCAAACGGAGTAAGTCCAGGCCACGTAACTCCAGCCTTAGTCAGCACTGCTAGACATAACCGATCCTGCAACAATCACCTTTTCTCTCAGCTTTCTCCCATAACATCTACTCTCATCACTGATCTCACACAGCCATTAAGCTAGATACTGACAGCAAATTACTAATGGATTCCATATAAAACCAAAAGACAAATACAAAAAATCAATTCGTTTTCATACTTACTGAAGAGAGCCAGTAACTGTGTCCAGCAGAGCTGCTCATCCTGGCTGTAGCTGTGCTGCTCTGTTTCATTGCTGAAGTCTCGCAGGTGATGCAGTTGAAACAGATTGATAACAGTAATATGTACTAACTGTTGAGAATTGAAGGCCTTTTGGAATAACAATCTCTGCAACAAAACACATGTATAATGTATGTATTTTTATATGGTAAAGCACACACTTGAAAGGATTAGTAGTTGCTACTTCACTGCTTGACTAATACTTCTGCCCTTAAGGCAATATTCATATGAGATTTTATTTTCAGGTCATCCCTATTATCACAGCACTGGGCTTTCCAGGAGGACATGGACAGATGCCCATTCTTAAGCCCAAGGTTTTTCCTTGTACACCAACTCACATGCACAACAAATCAACATCCTCTTGGATATATTTCTCTTTCGGAGCAAGTGCAACTTTAATGTGCAATAACAACATCGCAATGCAACTGCAAGAATTGCAGAGGCGTTTATATCCACCGTATTTTTCAGTCTTTCAAAGAAGCAGCACGGAGAAGGTGACATTTTAAAAGAACACCCCATGAAAATTTAACTACTGTGTGGTTATGTATTAAAGACTAATTCCACATCTGACTTCATGGGTCATGGAATGCCATGGTGGACTAAAATAGTGTGAGCTATTTACAAATGCATTTCAGTAACTATGCTGTAAGACACCTTTCCCAGAACAGGAAAATAAACTTCAATGCTTTTTTTGGAGCATTGTGAAAAAAAGGAGATATCCTAAACCACGACCAACTTATCTTCAGAAAAACAGTCAGGGGGCAAGTGGATTAACCAGCGTGATCATCAGGAAGAGGCTTGAGCTCCATGTTCAAGCCTGATTTTTAGTTAAGAGCATGAAGCACTCTACGGCCGACAACTCAACTCACTCTACAGCCAACAATGGCCTGGCTGAAGACTCCTAACTTTACAACTGCTCTCCTCATTCAGAGTTAAAATCAGCCACAAAGTTAAAAGTTATTATCCACCATACAGCCAATTTTACATCCACATTCAACCCATTTAAGTTATAAGAGTTGCTCTCTAGTAAATTAAGACTTACTTACAAAAAAGTAATCTAAATAACAAAGCAGGGCTCAATTAGCTCTATTTTAACACCCTGGATCAGTTCAGAAAAATAAGACTGTTCCACATGCCTGAGCAATGCTCATAATTATTGATTATAAGCACTGTGGAAAAAGCAGTAATTGTTCAACATCCAGCATTACACACAGAGATACACAATTATTTAATTTTGAAACAACATTAACTCCCAGTGTTCAAACAGCTTACGTTCTAAGCTAATTCACAACAAGTTTTGCGTTTTTTTTAATTTATTTTAAAGGCAGTTTGGACCTAGCTGTAACAGCCCAATTCAATGCAAAACTACAAAAAGAGACTGTAAAGAACATTTTTAATTCTTTACATTGCTAAGACCACCTTCCCCTTTCTTAATCTGGAAAAGCATCAACTGCTCTGTTGAACATATCCATACTATCTGCTCATTCTCCACAAATAAAGATGCTTGAAGCAGAACAGTTTCAGAAAGGCACCTGACAGTTAATAGGATGTCCTCTTTGAACTTCTACTACCTTGTATAAATACCTTACAAAATTCTCTTTGTTTCAATCTTTGCTATATTGTCCAACTTAATGAGATAGCTATATAATTAATGGGTACTCCTGCATTCTCCAGAGGAAACATGTTCTGAACAGTTCTAGCCTACACGCAAATTAAGGTTGTACTGGAACACTCTTTAAAGGCAAACTGCTGACAGGAGAGGCAAGTTGTCTGAGGAAGATTAAAAGCAGCCTTAATAAGCAGTAGGAGTGAATAAATGCCATCCAAAACCGAAGCTCTCAAAATTCCTCAGGCAACTGAGCCAAGACTTCCCAGATGAGTCAAGTGCTTTTCACAGGTGTCCAAGAATCATCTGGATTAAAGAGCAGAGAATCAATGGTGGTGACCGATTTCTCCTGTATCTCCACCAATAACGCACCACATGTCAAATGGGAAAAATCCCTACTATTTGCAGAAGTCAACCGAACTATCTGGTGTTAGCTGCAATGCAAACCTTCCAGAAGTGGCTACTTAAGCTTCCTGTATTTTAGCATGTGAGAAAGTTATTATCGGACTGTAATTTCAGAACTCAGCTGCTAAAAATACTCAATATACTAATTAATATGTTGTTAGAACTAACCTTGAACTGTTCTTCCAGCTTTTCTCGAAGAGGGCTCAGCTTCTCCAAGCTCTTACTCAGGTACACATGGCCATGGAATTTAATAAACGCCTTGATGAAGTCAGACACACTCCATCGAGTCTTCACCTCATCACGACTACATTCAGAACAGAAATATCTGACTTCAGTCTTAGGAATTAGACACAGCTGCACCTAACATTACATACTTTTTCTGTGAAGTTCAAGAAAGGAAGAATGTCCATGCAAAGCTACTTTTTCATGTTGGCACAATATGCTTATTTCCTGCATGCGCTATTCACACTCAGGAGCATCCCAGACACAAACTATTCTTTGTTCCATACATGTGTAAGTATGCTCTGATTGGATGGGGGTCAAGGAACTCCTATTTCTTCTACCAAGTATGAATAACTTCTGGCAAGGGAGGTACATTTGGAAGAAGTCTCCTCCATCGCATCCAAGCAGAAATACATTATGCTTAGTCTTACCTTTCCAGTGCTTTAGAAAGTGCTTTTTGTAGGTTAGTGGAGGCAGCTGGGAAAGGAAACTTCACAGCAATGCTTCTGCAGTAGTAGAAAATTGTGGTCAAGTGGTCTCCTTTGGAGGAAGCTAAAATAGCCAACTGATTGTAAGGCTGACCTAAGGGAGAAAAAGACAAGTTGTCCAACAAGTTGTCATAGACTGAAGCATTCTAAATTTCAGCTTAAGTATGGTCACCTTAAAAGGGAGCACAAAGTCCAAGAATTTTCAGCACACAAGGTTCAGATTCATCTGCTGACCCTTTTACTGCAGCTTCATATCAGTACCACTCAAATGAAAAAGCTTCCAAACACAGAGTACATTTTTTCTTGTTTGTTGTTGTTCTGGTTTTTTGTTTGGGTTTTTTTTTTTTAAACATAGTTTAAAATCAGACAAGTTGTACGGTGTAAAAAGCTAGATAACTGAACTAAAGGAGCTCTTAACCTGCATGAGCAACTTGAAAAGTCCAGTTATAGCTACTAAACTTTACGAACTGGTATGTGAACAAGCAATCAAAGCAAAAATGCCATTGGTAGGCAAGTTCTCATTAATTGTACTTTACAAAATATGAATGTAACACAGTATAATGTAGCAGTAGTGAAGCCTTGGAGTGAAGCTGTACATTAACTTTTTTTTTAAATCTTCACAAAAAGGAGACAAATGACACAGATTAGGCAGACAGCTGCTATCTAAATGATTTACCAATGGGTCAGGCTTTGTTGCATGATTGTTTTGGCTATTTGGGGAGGAAGTTTTATATAAAATCCCAAGTTTCCAACTGCCACACAAGAAAAGCAACATCCCACATCTTCTTTTGGAATTATGAACCTAAAAGGTATCCCAGACTCACCATTAGAAGGGACAAGCTGAGCTGCGTGTCTGTAGTAAGACTCTGCCTGGCTGGTCTGATTCCTATAGCGAGCTAAGAAAACAAAAAAGACAAGTCGAGACAAAAAGTTCAACTCTCCCACACCTCCTTTAATACAATCCAGTTTACCTGAAAAACATTTTACTATTATTTTAGAAATAAGCATCCGAAGAACATACAACTACACCAAGCAGCATGAAGATTCAACACCTTGAATTTTAAGGTGGTTGTTTTTCCTCAGAGCCTATTGTCACAGTTCAACAGTTCTTATTTAGAAAGATGTTGTGCCAACAGCATCACATCCAGACAGCTAGAAGTATTTTTCATACTACTTTGCACAATGAGCAACTAGATCTACTTTTAGGTTATTACAAAAGCAATTGCAGATTTCCTGTGAAAAGAGAATTTTCTGTAACACCTAGTTCTACTCTGATCAAAGAAATAAATCTCTTGAACTTCATGTAAAAGAGAAATGTCACTTACGAAAGGCTGGATTTCTAACTGTTGCCTTTGTATACAAGATTTAAAAGTAATGTTCTGAAACAGAGAAGTATGCTAGCCTGCTGCAACAAGCTTTTGTAATAGTTACTGGTTTCAACATTTCACTATGCCTACCAGCTATAACATGATTAGTATGCTAGAAGACAGATTCTAGCAAATCACTAGAAAGCTAGTGATTAACTGTCTCCATGCGTTAATGTGTAACACACATTAGAAAAGTCTAACAGCATTGTTTTCCAGACCTTTCCCCCTGCAGCAACCACCAAACATACAATCTGCTACTAGCTACTAATTTGGAGCACACTTGGTCAGTTGCCCAGGGTATGTACAGATCCCTCTTCATGAAGGCTGAACACAGGTAGAGCTCAGTGTCCCACCTCTTTTTCCTTCAAAAACTCACCAATATCTCCAAGGTGGACAAGGCAGTGCTGGCAGATGTAAGAGCAGGAGCTAGATTGCGGCTTCACTATGGCGCTGGTGTGCGTCTGTTTATTGCTAATGATTCCCAGCTGGGAAGACTTCACACGACATGGCAAGTCTACATTAAAAACTGTGCACAATTCCTGTAATAACTAGAAAAACAGGTCTAGTTTAGTAGCAGCTAGAGACAGTAATCAGAAAAGTATTGAAACAGACAAAACTAGCAGGTCATCACTTGGAGGCATGGATTAGCTAAACATATTTGAAGTGAACAAGCAAGTGAGACTTTAAATTACATTCTCCATATGGAAGTCATTGAGCTCCATGCTGCATTATTCTGCCCAGAACCATGAAGAGAAGTTTTACCTCCTTCTGCAAGAAAGAGCTGTGCATCCCAAACCAGTAAGCAACTCATTTCTCATGATACTTAAACTACCAAGTATGCATCATGGGGATTGATTATCAGAGGTCTAAAAATCTTGCCTTTTTTTTTTTTTTTTTTTTTTTTTTTTTTTTTTTTTTTTTTTTTAAACAGGCCACTCTTAAGAGGAACACCATCTTTTCATACCTAGATGAAGTGATACCATTCTCTGAAAATACGAGAAAGGAATGCCACTCATCCTCTAAAGAAGCTTGTTTCAACATAAGAAACAGCACTACCCTGGTTTAAACTTTACAGAGAAGCCAGAACAAAACCAAGTTTGTAGGCAACACAAGGCAACAGTGGCCAAGAGTTCAGTGGCTGAGTTGTCAGTAAATATTTGTGCTAAGCTAACAGTGAGACTCTTTCAAAGAGCAAGGCATCAGCTACTTGATCAAAAGCTCATTGAAGGGAAACCTGAACTTTGCCATTCTAATTAGTGCTTTTGAAGTTTTTTCCTAATGGACTCCAGCAAATACTCTGGAAAGTAACGGTAACCACATAGTGATGAAAAGTGTTCTACACTTTTTTGTTCAGGGTTAAAAATGCAAGTAAGAATTGACAGACTTTCTCCCAGCTGGGAACATACTCAGTCTCCAAATAAAACAGACCTGCAGCAGGGTTCCACTCCCAGATAAAAGCATATAGAAAGCCCAGGGCTGACAGAGATGAGCACTCTGTCAATGCCTAAACATGCAATCCGGTGCTTTTGCTTGCTGCAGAAAAAAGGTTTATGTGACACCTCCCTCCCTTTTTGCTCTGTCTATCTACAGTAGATAAAAATCCCCAAACAAGAGGGATCTCACAGATGAAAGCTGGATAAAAGAGAGAAATTTGACATCTTCCAACATGCTGTATTAGGAGAATTCATGCTCTCTTTCAAAAATGTCACTTACACAGGCCTCACAGTCAGAGAGCAGGTATCTTGCCTGAGCAAAATCTTTACAGACCAAAAATGGGATGTTTAACATCCCAGCAAACAGAGAAAGACAACCCAGTCTGAGGTGTAATACACAAGAGCAGCAAAATTCCCTGGATACACTACAGGTAAGAACAAGGCTTTTGCAAGACAAACCGTGTAGATGATGATAGAAAACCCTTGGCAACCATGCCACAGCCTGTCAAACAGGCTGCTTCAAGTAAGAAGCTTTCCAAAAAACAATGCCCAAGGGCAAAAAAGATAATCACACAGATTCTGGAAAAAAAAAAAATCAGATTGCCTTGCAGACGTTCAGAATCAGACTAGGAACAGAGATAGTAAGAATGACCTACTGTGCATGTTGTAACGTTATGACAGTGCAAACTAGCCATGATAGAAGGTCTAGTCAGACCACTACTTGAGATAGAGGATTCAGCAGTGACAATATTGCTTAAGCATACAGCAAATGAGGAGAAAAAAGGAAAGAAGGGCAAGTTAACTTTAAGGCTGTTATCATACACTGACTCTTGTTCTTCATAATCTACAAGCTGCCAATACAGCTTTGCTTAAGGGGAAGAAAAGCTCCTGTAACTGAAGTTAGCAAGTCTAAAACAATTATGTTGACAAAAATACAGAATGAAGACCGAAGATAGTCTTGTAAGCCTGGGAGTCTTGATCAAAAAAACAACAAGACATTATATGCTCTAATTGCTACACGCTACTCTTGGGGACAACCACCCTACTTAAATGCATAACCATGGTGGGCACTAAGTTAGATATTATTCAGAAAAAAACCCCCTGTATTCAAGTATATACGCAGTATGTACACAGTTCTTGAAAATATTAACTCAGTGCTCACCATCAGCGTTAGGAGTTACAAGGAAGGGACACAGAACAAAGCACAAAACATTAAGGCATCATACACATTAGTAGTAATTAGTAGTAATTAGTAGTATTCAGTTTGTCCACATGTAACAAGTTGTTTAATGATCTGAAATGAAGTTGCTGCAGAGAAGGGTCAGATAACAATGTCTGTTACAATTGCCTTTTCTGAAAGAGACAGCAATCTCTCTGCAAGATACAGCTTTATAGATACAAGGTGTCTTTGTTGAGTTGGTATTGCGAATTCTCCGGCTCTGTTTCACAAGTCCAAGGTCTTCCATGGTATGCAGCAGCATTTAAAAGTTGAACCCTGGTTTACAGTTGAACTCAATGATCTTAAATGTCTTTTCCAACCTAAATGATTCTACATACTCAGTGCATCTGCATTTTGGAATTCTGCACATATTTCTGTTCTTGAATAACTGGAGCCAAGAACAAAACTGATTATCTTTGCTTATCCTTCACTGTATAGGGGAAGTCTCACATTTTTCAAAATGAAAAGTAATTATGACAATGGCCCACAAATTCATGCATAGTAATAAGAAGGTGAATGGGAATTTTCGGAGAAATGGCAGAAAAAAAGAACTAAGAGTACAATGAAATCATCAGTTAACATGTTTGCTGGGGTCAGCTTATTTTGTGTTGTTGTTTCTCTTAGACATTACAACTAAAATACAGAATTCTTCAGCACAGATTGCTGCAGAGACCAGAGTAAATGGCTTCAAGAGGGACTGGAGAATCAATGAAGGCTAGACCTCCTAATAGCTAGATGATTCAGATACAAACCAGCTCAAGAAGGCAATGAATGCACAGCCAGAAAGCAAGAGACTAGAGCAAGAAAGTATCATTCTACATTTTCCTACTGCTTAATGCTGCTCTGAGCAGTCACAGCAGAGTACCGCAAGAGACAAAATACGGTGCTAAATGGACCTTTGATCTTACCCAAAGATGTGGGGTTTAGGCTTTAAAGCAGATTCTGTGGAAGGGAACTTAAAACTGTTGCCATGGTTTATGGGGCACCAAAAAAACTACCAGATTTGCAGAAGTTAGAGATCAGCTAGAGGCTGCGGCTGATCAAAAGCACGTCCCCAGTTTTTGTAGATGTGTTCTACTGAGAGCAAGTGTTAGCAAGGTACACTGCTTGATCCAGAACTGCAACAGTTTCCTACACTAAGGGAAAAGAACAGATTTTACCCACCTAAAACCGATCCTCCTGCCCTTCCTCAGAGAGATTAATACCAGTTCTTCATGCTGGTATAATATCAGAGCTCATCTCATGAGCAGTTGCTAGAGCAGCATAGGAGATCTGACAGCCAAAGCTTTGTAAAGGACCCACATGTAAGCAGTATAAGGCTGAAGCAGGCTTGCTGCCATCTATGCAAATATACCACAGCCAACATATTTTTTGCAACTCACCTGTGTGTAGAAGCCACTAGCTGCCTCTAAGAACAGAGAGAGGTTTGCCTGAACTTCGCTCCGATTTGGATTTGCTCTATTTTTCGCCTGACCCTGTAGCGTCGTGATCTGATTTTTAAAGGCATGATTCCAACTGAAAACAAAAGAAGTGTTTTCCTGTTTTACTTTGGAAGTGCCTTATGCAGATAGCATAAGCAACAGGAAAAAATCTTTTAATTACATAGCATCAGACATGAAAATGAAGTCTACTCAAATTCAGACAACATTCAGATTAAAAATAATGTTAAATAAGGAAGAATTACCTTTCCCCACCTCTCATAACTAGAGAAACCAATCCTGATGTTGTATAGCTAACACTGTAACAGCATTAATATTTGCTTGTAATTGTTTTGTTTTAGGCAGCATAGCTCTTTTCTGAAAACAGGATATGAGGTATAGAAATTTGAGCTAAAAGTCATTCAGCATCTGGAGGCATGGACAGCACAACACAGCCAGCCTACTCATCTTGCTTTCCTCAGAGTGCCGGAAGAACCACATACTTCTCAACTAAACCTGCTACAACGCATGTCTGCATCTTAAATAAGAGGGAATGGACTCAGGGCATTGAGAGAAAACCCAGCAGGATCTTTCCCTGATCCCCCTAATGCCATGAGCACCCTGGTAAAGTTCTCTCCTGATATTCTTCCCTCCGCCCAGCCCTCCCTCAGCGGGCTTAAAGTGAGAGTCTCCTGTTACACCTTGCTCAAAGCTCCAGGTGACTCCATCAAGCAAATTCCTTCCTTTCTGGAAACTTCAAACTTCAGCCCTTCCTCAACAGCAAAGACGACTGATGTTTCTTAGCCCTCTCCCATCTGGCTCACTCCTGCATGACATGGCTGCTACTAACTGCCAGAGGTAAAACACTAACCTACTGAATGCTTTTCATCGACTCTGCAGTGCATTCTCATGTTTCACCCACAGCACAGCTCTCATTTTAAAGGAAATAAGACAACCATTTCACAGGATACAATTGCTTTTCTCAAAGTCTCAGGGTTTCCTGTTCATCAGCCCAGATTACATATATGAATACAAATTTATTGAGGTACTTACAGGTCCTGCTCCACTTTTTTATCTAAAGCGTATTCCAAATCGGTCACTAGCATTTTCTGATATAAGTCCTGTAGAGCCTGTCTGGATGTCCAGACTTCTGCTGGACCCAACTTCGAATCTGAGCAACAAAAACAAAAAACAAAGACACAACAGTTTTTGGAATGCTCAAACTTAAGAGTTCTTCCAACTGATTTTTTGCTCACCTACCAAAGGAAAGATCATAGCACAGTGTAAGATAACCAATGCCAAACATCCGCTTTTATGACAGATTCATCTGAACAGTGAAATACAGGAACTACAGAGGGACTGGCGATTAACTGATCAGTCTCCCACAATACCAGAACTAGATGTGAGCGAAGTCAGAAGCTGGCAAGTTTAAAAAAAAAAAAAAACAAACCAACAAAACAACAACAACAAAAAAACCCAAAAACCACACAGACAGGAGGTGATTCTCCATAAGTCATTAAGCTGCAGAGAATTATCCATCAAGGGATACTAAATAGGGCAGTCCCTGGAGCCAACGCTGTTGGTATTCAGGAGAACATTGTGGGCAAGTACAACTGCATGCTTGCCATTTTCTAAGTCTCTGGTAGCCATCTGCTTTCCATCACCATGGGTGAATGCAAATGCTGCTTCTTGCTATCACAAGTTAGAGTCCAATTTCCCATGCCTTGTAAAATCATCTGAGCTGGGGCTGCGGGAGCAGAAGGGATGGGCCTCACCCTGGGGAAACAATTCTGCTGATGGTGTAGCCACTCCTGCTGGGTTAGATGAATCCAGGCAATTACAGTGTTCCTGTAGGGACTACACCAACCTGCTACGTGTACTACACCAAGGTGGTAAGCATGGCTGAGCATAGGTTCATTATGCAAACTGCTTTTGCTGCACGGCTATAAACCATTTTCATTTTACATAAATACGTACAGCTTAAAACACAGCTTGTAGCACTTCATAGCATCTGCACTTTCATAACACACATGGCAGCATTCAGACCAATGTTTCTGTCACCCAGGTTTCTCAAAACCAGCCAGATCCCAAGTACAGCAGTTCCTGTGACAGGCTGGACAGCAGTCTCTTTCTCTTCCCCAAAGGCAGAACCATGGGAAAGGACTAAGGGCATGATTTCCACCTCCAAGTGCTATAAAGCACTCAAAGTCAACTTTAAAAATACACGTATTTTAGGTACAGGGAAGAGTGTCACAGTTGTTAAAATGGTACTTATTTATATACAGAGGACAAACCTTTAACATAATGTCACACACTTTCCAGAGAATTCTTAGGAATGATAAGCATAAGGAACACATAAACCGAATATAAAAACAGGAATCAAGTATTAGCAGCTAGCTCAAGTATAAAGGCAATTACCTGTCATGTCAGCCTTCAGGACTTCTGCCTGCCTGTAAGAAAACAATAAAACAATAAATTAGAAACAGACTGATCAAAATAATTGAATTATGCTAAAGCACATTCATGCAACAGTGAGTAGAGAAAGTGGGGCCAGCTCTGTAGAGGCTGCCTACAACCTACACTGCTATAGTTTACCCCATACAGTACTGATTTGAGCTACTGTTGTTTAACAGTATGATTACTTTTAATTCGTACCACAACAGAAGTCAACTATTCAGTTTTCCCTGCTTAGCTTAAGGCACTTTCACAAAAAAATATAAAGCAAAAAACCCTTACACTATATTTTAAGCTTTACCTGGCAGCAGTGTCCTGCCAACATCAGTGATACCTCCTTAGCTGTAACTGGGAATTTGATATTAACTTTAAGCTGTCACATGTGAAATGCAGTAGTCAACACAGAGCAAAGCGAACTCCCATCAGTGCCTGTCAGCATGTTGCTTTGTGCTGCACTAGCTTTCCTTAAGGAGAGGCAACAAAAAGATGATGACTTCCCCAACTACCTCTCCTCCTTGCATGGCCTCCCTAAAGTCATGGTTTGATCAGGTTTTCAAGAACGAAAAAAACATAGAACAGAAAGAATGACAACTGCAACTACAGGTGAGCAACTACCACTCCTTTGCTGAACATCCTCTGCAAATCCCCACTGCTGGTGGAGGCTGGCAAATAGTTTCTCAAATAAAGGAACACTGGGACACAGTCCTCATTAAATAAACATTTACGAATGGTCCTCATTAAATAAACATTTACGAATGGTCATCAATGGCTGGATGGAGCAGGCAGTCGAGACGCTACGCTTAAGCGCTGCCGGAGGTGCATAAAACATCAAAGGGCAGCACCACTGGCCTGACCAACACAGAATTAACACAGGGCAGGCAGAGGCAGAAGGGACACAAGGCTGCCTGGTTTGGCTGGGATTTGGTGTAACATGTCACTCTCCTTTTGCTACACTCAGATGTTTACATATATTTGCAAAGAGAGTAAGCTTTCCATACCAGACATGGAATCCTTCTAGCATATGAAATACCAGCTTCCACCTGCCTCCCTCAGCAAAAAAACTGGATGGAAGTCACACTGTGACTAACACGAAAGTCAGATGCCAGCTTGGGAAAGAATGGAGAGCCAGAAGAAAGCACCACCTAATCCCTAAAAAGGCTTCAGAAACAAGCATATACTCTCTCTTGCCAAAGTGAAGTTGTGGTAACTGTAAAAATAGTTTCTCAGGTTGTTCTGAGTTCTACATACTGGCCACAAATTATAGGGAAGGTTTTGAGATTCACATCAGGATTAAAAAGATACCATAACAGTGCCAGAGCTTCACTAGGAAGATGTATATTGTTAAGTCCCTTCATAAGTCATCTATTTATTAAATGCAAGAATTATCTGTAGCAACTCACCATAGTCACCACAGTGTATCATCCAAGAAGCAATGGGATGCTCCAAGGGCTTTAAGTTAGTTAAGATCTTAACTGTTGCCAGAAGTAAATCCGTACATTCCTCACCTGCTTCACAAATTTAATCGATTTAAGATAACTTTTTTAGTATGTATCTTTCAAGAAAGCATTAATACTTTTTTCAACTCCTAACAACAGGGTACACTGGAAGAAGAGATAACCTTTTATTACTGATAGACAAGCAATGAAAATTTTAGATACTCTGTCACAAGAAAGCCCAAGAAACATTTCTGCCTCGTCCACATAGAGGTAATGAAAGGCGCTGAAGCCAGCAGGATAGGAAAGAACAGATCTTTTCCCCCACACAGCTAGGAAGAGCCGACGAAGGATGGCAATCTCCTCTGCGTGCTGCGCCTTGGGAGCCTTGGCGATGCTGACCTGCAAGTCTAGTCAAGCACAAAGCTGAGCAAATCCTGCGGTGCTATGACTTGGCAGCTAGAAATGCCACTGCTCGGAAGGAAAAGCTGACTCGCTCAGGTGCAGAAGTCTCTCTTTTTTGAGCGGCCAGCCAAGTTAATACAGTTTGGCTCACACTTTAAACACCTGCCAGTTGTGCAAACTTTTTTTTTTTTTGAGCTGAGAACACGGTCTGCGTTGCCAAAGCCATGAATCCTACTGAGGGGCTCAGCCTGAACGGGACATGCAGTACCGCTCCAGCAAACTCAAGCCCAAAATTCTCCTCCAGGCAAAAAGGCTCTGCCCTTTAAAAGCCAAGAACTGCTCTTCTGAAAATTACTTGTGCAGAACTACTTTGCACTGTGCTAAGTACCAATTTTTTAAGGAGGAAATACAAATAGCGCCATTGTGAAGGCTTTCTTTTAATAAAGTTTTGACCAGCTGTTTCCTGGAGAATTTAGATGGAGACAGCCTCAACCCCTATATCAGTGCAGCTGCTGACAGATGCTCTGTAAATGCAGCCATATTGTTAGGGCTATGGACCTGAACTTTTACCAAAAAAATTTTTTTTAGAACACCTTTTTTGGAAGACAGTACTAATGGGCTTACAGAACAAGAGCCTTTAGCGCCAGTCTCTTCACTAGCCATAAAGCAGGCTGCCTTTAATATTTTATAAGCTCGCAACAAGCTACACTAAGGGGATTATCACTATAATTTTTAATAAAATGTACAGAAGTTATTTCAATATTTCCTAGAGGCCAAAGGAATTAGTAAAATAGGTCTAACATTAGCATGCTCTGTTTCTCATTTCCCCCTAAACCCAACTTTTAAATAAAACAGCTGCATCTACCGTGGCTAAGCCAGGATAAGAGAAGGCCGCCTGGGTACCAAACTTGTTCTGCACCAGTGGTAAAATATTAGCATCTCAAGAGAAAAAAATACATTGCCTGTTCCTTGAATAGACTTTACTGAAGAGCTTTTGCTGGTGCTCAGAGACTCCTAATGGGCAGAAATCTGAGTTTGCTGATAACAGCAAGAGTTTCTGACAGTGCCAATGGCGCCTTATATTGTCAAGCATCTTTTAACAAGCTTTTTTGTCCATGTATTTTCTTGCACTGCCTCATATTGAATTTGCATTGGAATGACTCATTCTGGTGCAAAAATACATTGCCTGCCAGCAAACTTGGTACAACTTGCTTACACATTTTATGATGTCAAGAATATTCAAGCACCTCCTTGCCCAGTTGGCCTCAGCAGTTCAGTCTTCAAGTCAAGTTTCCCCGAGTTTCTTGGTCCAAAGCCAAATAAGCACAAACCATTGCTCAAAAAGTGTACTTCAAGTATCTCTGTTAGATGATATATCATCTTGATATATTGTGATAGCTATTCTTTATCATTTCCTAACCAAATATAAATTCAGCCCATGCTTTAGTTCAACTTGAAAATCAAATACAAAAGCCTTCCACTCAATTCAGTGAGATAGTTTGACAGCTAAAGGAATTTTCATTTTAATTAAATACTTGCAGTTTCAAAACTTTAAAAGACAGCAGTCAGGACTTTCTTTTGAAGTTCTGAAGGCATAATATATATTAAAATTTAACTACCTACAGATGGTAAAGAAAACTTTTCTTCTCTTAAGAACCTGGCAGTATATAAAGTCCAGTTTTGTTGTAACTCAGGGGAACCCAGACACTATGTTTAGCGCAGAATGAACCACTGGATTTAGCAAAGGAAGACAAGACAAATGCATTTCTTTCTGCCATTTTCGAGTTTTTACCATTCTTAATCGATTAAGTTTTCCCTAAGCTGAAAAAGAAAACAAGTTGTTCCCCTTAAGCTGGTAAACACTACAAAAAGGAAACCCCACAAATATAGGGATGTCTCTCCCATGCACATTTTCAAGTGCTTAAACCATCATATTGAGAGGCTGAAAGGTGCATCGAAAGATCCCACTTCCACTTTTACACTAGGACAAGTTTGCTTAATTTGCTTTTAAAATCCTACCAAAAAAAAAAAAAAAAAAAAAATCACATAACTCCCTGATTAAATATTTTATTGCTCAGTAACAGTCCAGAGGTTTCTTCTGCAACGCCAACCTAAGGCCCCTCTGCCACAAACCAAGTCCTCCGGGCAGCACACCCAGCTGCCATGTGGAGCTACTGATCACCGCCTCTGTACAACAGCCACTTGAGAAACCAAAGACTTAAATGCATACTCTGAACCACCAGTTCTCTCTTGTAAGCTAAAATGTTGATCTTCATAAATTAAGTTTTCTAATCCTCTTATTGCCACCTGACTTTGAACTCCATCCATGTATCACTAAACAAATGGATCTATGCTACTGTTGCCCCCAAAACAGCTCATCTCTTTCAAGATATATTCTTCAGTTCTGTTATAACTCAAAGCATGCGTAATAATAAATTTTCACTTCTGCTTCACCACACTGCACCTGTAAGAGGGCAGTGTTCTACAGAAGCACAGTTTTGCTAACAAGCTTCATTATTAAGCACAGAAAAGCAAGTAAAATTAAGCCCAGGTTTTCAAAGCAGCAGTCTTGTGTCACCCAGCTAACACCCACTATTTCTGAAAGTTCAACTGGACAAAGTCAAGATTCACTTACACCAGACTCCTCTCATTTACACAGTGAGGATGAGCCAGGCAGGACATGCTATGGCATGATAAGTTCTACAAAAAAACATGGAAAAACCCTGACCTTACATAAAAACCACAAGACTCTGCTTTCCACCATGGCTGAAGGGGAACTCCACTCAGTTTTCCCCTGGCAGGCCTGAAGCATCAACAGCTGTATCAGTTCCCTTACCAAATCTCAGTAACACAACCCCCCTGATAAGGCATTGAGTATTTTCAGTACTAAAACAAGTAATGAGTCCAAGCAGCTGGGCATATAAAAGCAAGCAGAATCCAATCACTTGTTCCACGAATACTCCACAAACTAAAAAACATATTAAATGGTCAAAGCAGTTTCACTCCAAGCAGGAATTCATATTCCTGCACTTCTGTTCCCTGGAAGTATATACAGAAATTGTACCACAATGAAAAGTGCCCGCAGCCTAGCGAGCCTTAGCAGGAGGTGGCTCATCCAGGGCACTGCCAGAAAGTTTTCTTTCTTCTGAAAAGGAATA